TTGTTATTGTTGTTATTATTATTATTGTTATTACTATTATTATTATTCTTATTCTTATTCTTATTATTATTATTATTATTATGTTGTTGTTTATTATTATTATTATTATGTTTTATTTTTTTTAAGTATAAAAACCTTAAATTAATCAACTTTTTATCATGTTAACAGCTTAAAGGGTATTTCAGACATTTTGATAAAAAAAAAGTGTATACCAGCACTTATTTGCCAAACACATCAACAACTTTTTTTTCAACTGCAGCACTTTTATCCAAACACATAACTACTTATTTTAAAAATAAGTTCCAGCACTTTAAAAGTTACTTTTTAAAAGTTACTTTTTTTAAGTCAATCCAAACGGGCTCTAACATACACCAATTCCCCTGCTTAAACGCATGGGAAAACACTTCATCACAACATACAGATTTATCGCAGTGCATATTGAAACCTACTTATGCTATTACCCTAAGCTGCATGTACTGCAAGCCCTAAACTAGATGGTACAATATATCAACCTCAAAACTTGAAATCCTTCTTCTTCGACTTGCCATCCTTTTCATGCATTTTACGCTTCCTCTTCTTCTCATTCTGCAGTAATTTTATCTCATCAGAACTGATAATCACTCTTTCTAAACCAACAATTCAATGAAATGTAAGGTGGTACGGAGAGAAAGAATGAAGAGAAGACATGAAATAACTACATACCTCTGCTACCATGTCACTGAAATCCTCACGCTGGCTACGGAGCTTCTCTTCCTCTCTAGCTTCCTCGTATCTAAAAAAAGCACAAAAGGTTTTAGAAACATTCAAACTGAAATGTAGGAGCTTCTAATCATAAAATGTTAAAAGAATCACTACTTACTTGGCTGGTAAAACATTGTCCATAAGTTCCAACTCTTCAGGTGCCAATGTGACATCAACTCTATCTGACTTCTGACCTTTGAGCAGATCAACCTGCAGTGGACATTCCAAGCAATTAGCCCCAAATTCTAATCTAGTGCCTCTTCTAGAAGAAAAACCAACTGTATGCATTAATATCAGAAAGTGACACAAATGAAAGAGAAATATCAAATAATTTAGTCAAAATATAACAAGATATTATGTCAGAAAGTGACAAATGAAACTGAAGTACTCCGCCTCTTTGTCTTGAACTATGTCTTTTCCATCAGTGACCAACTAACAAGAAATAAGCTGAAAAATTCACCATATATGACTTATCCACAACAGCTATAGCCCCACTAATAGGGGCTGACACTACTGAGACCATGTCACTCTATGAAGATTTCTGCTTGAGAAAGTAAACTTGCATTTGAACACAGGACACAGAAAGATACTCTTACCCTTTTGGCACCAGCCTTGTCTTGAGCGCCAGTGTTGATCACATACCTGCAGGATCAGAGCATAAATCCATTGCACAGTAGAGGAAAGGATAAATGCTAGTGTCCAAAACTATATAAATGTGAGTATAGATAGATTACTTACGTATGGCTTGTTCCAAGAAGAGTACCAGGAGCTATCTTTTCTTCTTTTTCTTCAAGCACCTTAACAGAAAAAGAGATGTAATGAGTTTCTTTACAAGGACAAAAAGTAAGCCGGCAGAATATGGAAACTGGGAGACAAAAAGTTGGCCTTAATTACCTGGTAGAGGGGCTTCTCAGGCTCCTTCCTCTGTTGCTTGCGAAGGTCAATAACATCAGGAGTCTCAACTCCAGTAGGAGTACTACACCATAGAGAGAAATACATTGAGAACAAAGCCTAAAATGGACCTCAGCAAGAACGAATAAACTAGTGAAGGGAATCAAAAATGAGGAAGATTTCAAGCTACTACAAGATTTCTAATAGATATTGGATCATTAAAGGTATTGATCAAGTGCAGTACCTTGAAAGACTGTCCACTGACTGAATACCATCCTCCATCTCCTCTTCCTCCATCTCTTCTTCCTCCTCCTCTTCCTCCTCTTCTTCCTCTTCCTCCAAGTCACCCCAATGTTTAGTCTTATCAACAGGTTCATCCTACACATGGAGATGAGCAGCATGATATTAATTTACGTAATACACCAAGCAAATAAGTGAGGCTCAAGCCTTTGTGGCACCAACTACAAAACCACATTTATGAATATATAAACAGAATTTTTTAACAATATTGAAACATTATCAGTAGGTCTATACCATTGCACGGTTACCAAAATCAAGTAGTTAGTTTAAGTATTCTCTATAACCATACTGAATATGGTGCAATTTCCATTATTTTACTGTATCATTAGATGATAAGATAACTACCTAAAATAAAATCCTAACCCATTAAGTTTACACTCCAAGAGCATACCAAGCAAAAAAAAGAGCACAATGTACCTCATAATTAGGCTGATCTTGTTGCAATACACCAAAGACATCTCCGTATAAAGGGCGCCCATACTATGTCAAAGAAAGAAGGGCAAAGGTTAAAATTAAAATAAGAAACTCTAAAGCAGAACCATCTGAAAGGAAAAATATAAAACAAATATACTGAAAAGTTGTAAAACCTACTTCATCAACAGGTGGTTTACCCCAACCTCCCGGCTGATAACCGAACTTGGCTCCAGGTGGAATAGGAGCATTCAGTCCAGGGATCTTCAGCTGAGGATAAGAGGGTGGAGGACCATATCTCTGCACAGAAAATTGGAGGCATGGAAAATCACATTAGCAACGAACTCAACATAGTAATCAAACAAGAACTTGGGGTAACAAACGATTCTTCCAGTAAAAGAACAAGCAGTTTTAAATTATCTAACCTGCATATTGATGAGCCATGGAGGAGGAGCACCTTCAGGCATACCAAGGGCCTCTTTCAGTTCATGAGACAAAGTTCCAGGTTTCATTTCCCTCAACTTGACCTGCACATCAAAATAAAATGATGGTTAACAGACAAAAATGCAGAGGATAGGATATAGAAAGTAATAACAGTTGTACAGCCTAACAACAACCAAGAATTAACACAACAGGAACACATCTCCAAGTTGGATAGTCCTATCCAAACCATCCCAGTTTGGTCATATAAGATCACAACAGCAAAAAGACTTCCATTGTTTTTCCCCAGGCTCGGTGAAATATCAGCAAGGTTGAGAATATTTTTTTTTTTTTTTAAAGTTAGCATGAAAGCTAGAGAAGAAAGAGCTTGTGTTTGGCACCCAAGGTTGTGGCCTAGTGGTCAATGAAGTTGGAGCACAACATGGGGTCTCAAGCTCAAATCCCAGCAGAAGCAAACATATACTAGGTGTTTTCTTCCCCTCTATCGAAGTCTTGGGGCAGATGTTCTGCGAAGTAGCAGATACCTGGTGGAATTGGTGGAATACTCTACGTGCGCACAAAGCTCACCCAGACACCACCATCATTAAAAAGATTTAAAGAACATGAGTTTGATGACAATATATATTCATGGCTATTTTATACCTCAAACTCCTTCCCTTCATAATACAGATCACCAAGGGATGTCAACTTTGGTTTAGTTTGATACTTAAAAAAGGCGTCATGAAGAACCTGTGAAGAATAACCCAGAGCAGTAAGTCTTAGAAAAGTAAATAAGCAGTTAACTATAGTCTATAAGTATTTGAAAGGTCAGCATCATTGAGAAACCAAAAGCTCGTATAAACCTGATAATCAATATCCATCTTCCCCATTTTTGGCTGCATCCTTTCCCGCTGCTTTTGTTTAAGCTTCTTACTGTCCTCCTTTTCAATATAAGCCTGCACCAAAACAACAAATACGATGTTCAAACATCAGCAAGGAAACTAGTCATACTACATATGCTCAAAGAAAGGTATCATATTTCAACAAGTTTTAACGCAACAGATTTGTAAACTCAACATCTTACACCAGGTAAATAGTTTTAGGATCTGTCTGTTCTACAATTAGAAGAACTACCAAAGGGTCAACGGACAGAAAGACCACATTTCCTATGTGAAGTCTACGTGAAGTCGTGACTTGAGAGCCTTTTTGGTGTAAGAAGAATATTATAATTGATCTTGCCTCACTGATGGATCTTTTATAGTATTTCAAGATGTAGGTGGACTAAGACCTTCAGTTGTACTCTTCTTGGTACACATTAATTTATCTTTTCATAAAATAAAATAAAATGCCATAGGGTGTTCTTCTATTAAAAAAACAGGGTCACCAGGCTCATCTCAAGATAACGTAGAATGCGAAAGCATCAAGGAGTTCCACTTGAAATCTAAGCTTCATTTTAATTATGATCATTACGTTGATACAACTTCGATAGAGTACCACCAACATATTCTCATTTTTCCATAGTCAGAACGAAAAGCCTCCATTTATAAATAGTGTATCTACAATAATTCATGCAACATATTCCTACTTAACAAAGCCGTCAGCCAAAGGAGGATAAAATTGGATAGAAAATCCTACTTGTCTAATTTTCTCAATTCCTGTTGCAGCTATAAAGTCAGGAAGTTGAAATGGCTGTTTCTCAATCCCACGCTTCCCCTGAAAAACGAAATCAGTCAGTGAGATAAAAGTAAATTAATAAAAAAACACTAAGAAAACTCTATACAAATACTCTGTGTGGCTTATATGACTGTATGGCAGATCCCTTCACATCAGAAAATCCAACTTTGAACAGATATAATGCAAAAATAACTAAAATTAGAGAATTTAGATAGGAGAAAAATATTAGTCACTCAATCTTTAAGGTGCTCAAGAGCAGCCAGCCGTTTTTACAACTAAGAGAAGTGAAACCCCAGCAACATACACACCAAAAACAGACAAATGCATGTATCCCAACCCACTAAATAATAAAAAACATATATACACAGAAACATAGACATCATGCAAGGATTCTCCTTGCCAAACACCTACATGTTTGAGGCTCCACCAGTGTCAGCCGCTCGCCTGCAAGAACCACATATACATACATATAAGACAAACTCATTTTTCTTCTATGAGCCCCTTCATAAACCAAGCCTTTTCTCCTATCAAACAATTCTACTATTACTAGTTGTTACATGCAGTGCAAGAGGTACACATTATTCTTCACTTTGTTAACCTTACTATACATGTATCAATAGTGATGACTAACCTGCAAAAATTTCCGTTTCTGACACCAGTGTCTTGGAACAGGAACAGTATTCCGATAAGATTTCAGAAATACCAGGAGCTTAGGGTCTGCTGCAGTGGCATCCCATACCTAGACATATATGCATAATCAGTACCAAGGAAAAGTGGGCTACACTTTAAGTGATAAAATCTAGAGTCTAAACATCAATATAGTTAGGAGTTATCCCATATAAATCAGAAACCAGACAGACATTTTACCACGCCAACATTGTCATGCTATCAAAAGAGTTGAGTAAAACCTGCATGACTATCATGCAAAATTTACTTCCAGTACAGTGGGAAAAAAAAAAGATGATTCGGAAGATGACAATGGTTTATCATATAAAATTTTATCAAACACCATGTCATACTGATCCTCACGGTGCAAAATATTCTGCAAAATCTGGCACTTCACATTTTCTGCACAAGTGGGCTGGAAAGAAGACAGCACACAAAACACAGAAAACATATCTCCCATAATAAAGATGCAAATACCTTCCTTTTGAAAGGTGATAATACCATATCTTTAAAGAAAAATAATGTCAGAACCCTCATAAAGCCATACTTAATAAATGATTCACATCATAGCAATTGACACAACCATAAAGCAGATTTAGAAAGGCAAGCAAAGAAAATTTGTAGAGCTAGGGATGGGCATAATCACAAAAGAAAGAACACAAATGACAGACAGAAAATCAGAACGTTAATACATTTCTAAAAGGATAATAGTTGATAACTCATTTGGCTCATGACAAGATAAATACACAGGGTAACCGCTAACAGTACACAAAACTGCATAGAGTATGTATGTCAGGAAAATAACAATGAAACAAATGCCTTCCATACCTCAACAACATCAGGCTTCATAGAGATTTGTTTCAGTTCTGCAATTTTCATCCTACGCTGAAGCTGAAATGAAGAAACAGTTCAGACTGAGACCTAACTGAAGGTAAACAACTTAGAAGTAAAAAAGAAGAAAATCTAACTTTTTTCTTTTTGTTAGAGACTCCCTTCTCCTTTTGCTGTGCATCCTCTTCTTCCTCCTCAGAATCAGAATCCGCCTTTTTCTTTAAGGCTCCATCAGCAGCAGTTTCATCCTTCTTATCATTCTCCTGAAGAATTTCAATTGAAAGATATTGGCAAACAGGCTTCAGCAGAAATTATAACCACAGTCCATGCAAGTGAACAAAGCTTTATGTACCTCAGCACCAGTGGCATCCGTGAAAGTGAATTTCTCAAAAACCTTCCTGAATTCCTCATCGAACTCACCATCTAATTCGGCCTTCTCTGGTACATACTCTACTTCAACTTGAACCAAAGACTGTGAAAAATTGGGGAGTTATAAAGATCAAATATTTTTTAATGTAAATATGCCTTGAAGGTAAAAAAAAAACCATAATACAATAAAACCAACAACAAAAGGTTATTCTTTTTAAGGTGATGGAGACCAACTTTTGCTGCTTCCAGAGTACTTTTACATCCAGTGTTGCTTCAAAGGTGAATCTCAAAAACATATCATTGAATAAAATAAGCACACTTTTTTCTGCAATTTAGCAACAAAAAATTCTAGAAGGTTCAATATTTCTACAGATATCACAATAATAATTAATATCTTAGGAAAGATTGCTTCATAAAGAAGGCAATTAAACAAGCAATTCACCAAGTGCCAACTATTTTCCAGAGACAAATAGATTAACAGAACTTCATAATTACCCACTGAAGTCAGAAACTCACCAAACGCCAACTATTTTGTACACATTAAAACATGCAAATGAGAAACAGTCGAATAATCTTCAGTATATTATAGTATATGAAAGCTTACTGCTAAAAATAAAAGGTTATAACAAGTACCACTTCACTTGTGAGTTGCGACTTCTAAAGAACAAATGGTTTTGCTCTTATCATTTGCAAAACTGAAATCAGTCCCATCACATCACCCTTTACAGCTGAACAGAAAGGACGTAATTATGTCAAAAGACTCCAATAATCCACAAAGGTGTATATTCTTAATCCAGCAGTCCCGTAAAATAACAAAAGGGAGCAGGGAAAAGACACACACTAATGTAAACTTTTTTATAGGGTCTTCCACATCACTTTTTTTTGTGGGTGAATAATAATGGTGTTTAGCCAGCATTCTGCCCACAGAGGTTAATCCAATGGCATATAAATTCTTCCATCCTTTCACATCCTAACTTCTTTTAAGAAAAGAGGTTGTCCAATTTTTGTATTGTAGGAATAACTTCATCACACATATAGTGATACATAAATATGCAATATATATATATATTTCTTACTAAGAAAAGGGGACCACCTATATTACTTACTAAGGAAAGATAAAAGGTTAAGGTTGCCAACTATTATCATTACTATAAAATGTTGTTAAATGCTCGATCAAGGTATGCTTAAAACCCAAATTTAGGAGCAAAACTTGACCTCAATCACACTTCGCTGTGCAGACACTAAAGCATACACCTTATCGCTCATAGGCACTATCTTAAAAACAACAGTACTATAAAATAATATAGAAATAATATAATGAACTTCTTACTGATTTTATATCAAGTAATGAACTTCTTATTGATTAAAATATAAACTTAGAAATTTAGCATAAGAAACTAATACAAAGTCCGAATTAGAAACTTAAGTTGGATCTCCGCACAAGCACGTAGTCAACATCTAAAATCATTTGAACTTGCTTTACATGTTTTAGAATCCAATATTTCATTTACTTGAAGTTATTCAAATTCCTTTGTTCCTATAATTATTGTCTGTACTTAATCCTATGTTGCTCAGACTCGGGTGCGGGGTGTTGGATTCAGGTACTGATCTAGAGATCGGATTCGGCATAATCGAAATTTTAAGAATCGTGGGTGCGGGGATTCAGCAAAAAATAATTCAAACTTCTAAAAGTATAGCTGCAAAATTATGCCTACATTATGAGAGAGATTTTGTGGAAGTACTTAATTCTTAGTCCTAATCAAATATACTGACATTTCATTAATTCCTTAATATTACTATTAAATACTCATTAATTAGGAAGAAGATAATAAAGGAAAAGTACAAAGAAAAAAGAATGTTATCACCATTTTTAGTTTGTTCGTTTTTCTTGCACGGTTATTAATTTTAAGACTTCTATATCACTAAAATTTAGCTGGAGAAAGATCTATCACTAAATTTGTAACAAACATAGTGAAAGAATAGTCTAGTTCCTACTTTTAGAGGGCAAATATTTATTCTAGATGAGGATTGTGAAATGGGCCGTTTGTCTTGGCCCATGCTCTATGTAGCTGAAAGTGTATTGTGACCAAGGCCCAGAAACAAAAGAGTTTCTCCGTGTTTGTATCGCACCATATTGAGATGCATTCTATATCCCTTAATTTTCCTCAAATAGTCTTCTCTATAGCTTCTTTTTTCTTCATCGAAGATGTATCACCGTGAAATCCAATATTGTCTACAAATAACTCAGTAGTTTCAAACCCAAAAGAGAATGAAACTCAGTCGTTTCAGACCTTAAATAAAAAAAGAAACTCAGTCGTTTTCCCCAATGAGCTGACTCAGTCATCTTCCCCAGTTTCTTTAAACTCTCTGCTTCTTCCCAGTGGTTTAACTCTCTGTTTGCTTCAATTTGGCCTGCTATATGAAGAAAACAATATTGAAGAAATCGGAAACAGAGAAAATATTGAAGGTATGCCATTCCACGTCTTCAAATCTCTACTTTTTGTTATCTTGAGAAATCAAAATTTCAAAAATATTTTCTAATTTGTCTGTGGATTTTGGTCAAAGAATCCAATCACTATTGACTGGATCTGACACGACTTCCGCACACTACCGTGTCAATGTGTGTAGACCCTGGTCCTGGTACAGCGGCAAAAGTGCTGGGTCCGAGCAACATAAACTTAATTATATACTCGCAGTGAAAGCAAATATATAAGAAAATAAAAAGGAGTCTATTCTTAGTTGCCAATATAAACGCTGATCTCCACGACAACGTTCATGTTCCTGAATCCTGACACATGTATTTTTTCTTGCACTATGTCTGAGTGTGTACAGATTTTCCAATGTGTTCTTTTTGGTTCATTTGCACCCATGATCAGTGAAACACAGGCTTTATAGTCCATTGTACTTGAAGCCCCATCAGATTTGGCACATGTCATCATGATACACACGCTTCGTCCTGAACATCTTAGATTGGGACCAAAATGGTAAAAGAAATTTCCATGAAGTATTCTAGTATATCCTACAACGATGACATAATTAACTTTCCGTACAACTATGAACAAGTTCAATATGATACCCATTAACAACAAACCTCACACATGTAGTCAGACGAGCTCTCATTATTTTCATTCTCAGCATTCCCAATGGAAGAAATTCATTTCCTGATACCAATTAGCAATTTCATACTATATCCAATGTTGCCTTCTCCTCCTCTTATCTTGTTTCCCCAAATCACAAAACATAACAAGAAATTCTTCTTATACTACCGTTTTAAAACTAACACAATCACTAGAAAACTAAAACTGACTCAGCCCGATCTTTTTACACGAAAAGAGTATCAACATTTCAAGCTAAGAAGTTCCTCAACACAAAACCTTAGTAATATCAAGCTACAACACAAATATCTGAAATCATTCATACAGAGAAGATCTATCTCCACAACAAATTAACTCATCAACAACACTAAGCAAATTATATTCACCAAAAAATACAGAACACCGCACACATAACATTTACATTAAGGATAAGCAAAAAGTACCTTCTGAGGATCAGAATTTTCCTTAGAACTATCTTCAGCGCCGCCGTTTGCGTCTTGCGCACCGTTATCACTGTCTTCTCCATTTGCAACCTTAGACGCCGCCTTGTTCTTCTTCTGCTTCCTCCGCCTACGACGTCGGTCGCTTTCCTTCGACTTCTTAGAGGCGGCGTTAGGGTTTTGAGGTCTCAAATCGCCTTTTGGATTACCAATGGCTTCTGTTCCTCCGGTTGCTACTTCAACCGGCATAGTACTCCGGCCGTTTGAGATTAATGTAGATTTTCAGTTGAGATATTTTTTTTCCGGTGGAGTTGTACGAGAAGGTGAAGAGAAAGAAAAATGGAGGGAGTCGGAAGATGAAGAAGAGTGAACGAGAAAATATCAGATCCGTTGCGAGTGATCGTTGGGCTGAACCATTGAGGAAAAAATAGTTGGGCTGAACCGCTTTGTGTAGCCTTGGGCTTATGTTATTGTTTAGGATTACACCAAAACACACAAATTGCAAAGTTACCGAAAAACACAAATCCCACTAATTTAGAATTTAATTACGTGCTTTTTCATGAGTTTTTGAAATTATCATTCGTGCCATATTTCAATCTCAAATACTAGAGGTCAAAATTAGGTGTAATTTATTCTACATACATTATGGGCCCGTATGGCCATAGATTTCCCAAATAATATTTGGGGGGAAAATTGGCAAATAGTGTTTGTCCATACAATTTGCCATTATTTGGCAAATATCACAAATTCCCAAATACTAGTTTTTTCTAGTATTTGGGCCAAATCTCATTATTTGGGATCTTTTGAAAATTGAAATTTACCCAAACTTTTATCTTTTACAAAAACACCCTCTATAGTAGTTGTTTGTGTTGTATTACATAATTTTTCATGTGAAAACCAAAGTAGTGATGAAAAATTCAGTGAATATTAAATGATGATATGGTTGTTGATGAAAATGATGAACAATCAGCTCATGGTAACAAGGTTATGTGCTTTGTCTACTTCACGATGTATGGAATGATGCTTGTTGCACTCACTCCAAACTACCACATTGCTCTAGTGTCATGTACACTATTTGTTATTGTTGCAATGAAGATTCAATTGGCTTGTAATACAAACTTATGGTTAGTTTTGATAGTTTTTAAAACTTATGGGTATAAATCATATTTTCTAAAAAAGTGAAATATATTTCCCAAATACTATGGCCAAACACATGGTGAAATTTCACTCAAATTTTCACCCAAATAATATTTGCCAAGAATATTTAGAAATCTATGGCCGAATGATATTCAAGTGTATTTCATGTCTCTGAATCTCTCGCTTGCCTCTCTCCTATATCGCTCACCCCTCTTTCCTATCCTACTCGCTTTTCTCCTCTCTTGATCTCCTTTCTCCCTCTCTCGCTCTTCTCTCTCCCAATGTATCTATATTTTCGAACTCTATCTGAAATTTCAATTATATGTATCTAGTGTGATTCGCATGTATCTAGGTCTCTCGCTCACCACTCTCCTCTCTACCTGTGTATTTGTATTTTAGAGTATATCTAGTAGTAAAAATACATGTATTATATCTGATATGAAATTATTAAATAATGAGACATTATGTAATTATTTCATATAGGAAAAATAATAAATATGGTAGAAATGTTTTGTCTAATTAATAGTTTTTTCCAAAAATAGATTAGGAAATAATATTTTGATGGGAAGAACTCCGTCATTTTTATTCTCCTTGATCTCCATGCATTTCTTTATTTGGAACTCAAATAAATATAATAACTTAAATGGTGAGGATTTGATACGATTCGTGAATACTCCAACATGTCAATTTGGGTGGAATAAAGCATGAAGTCATATCAGGTTCATTACAGTTTTGAAATATACTTATATTTTTTTCATCTTCTTTGTCTATAGTTTTAAAATTTTCACGTAAGTAGTTGAACCAGATAGATAATTAATTTAGGATATAACATGAAGACATATTGATTTATTACAAAATATTTTAGTCAAATGAACATATTTATAATTTATAAATAGTATAGTCCTTCAAATGACTCCCGCGTTGAAAAGCAAAACAGTTATATCCAAAAAAAAAAAAAAAAAGTCTACCGACAAGATTATGGTAATCAAATTTATATTTATGGTAATAACACAAGTTTGATAATATCCATTCATGCATTTACACACATATTTTGAAAATTGAAAGTTGAAACTGTATAAAACAATTTCTTTTCCTTTTTTTTTTTTTTATGTTTTGTTTTCTTTGGTAATGTATTTACATCATAGGAATTAGGAAAAACATTCTTGACCCTCCAAAGCTGGAGTGTCAGTCTCACATTGGTTAAAAGTTAGTATTTTCTGAATTCTTGATTCCTCAGATCTAGGAATAGTCTTTCCAACATATGAGAAAGAAGAAAGAAATTGCAGATCCCAGATTTTAGACATTTAGAGATAACAAGGAGAAAAATTAACAAAACCCCAGAAGAAAAAAAACAATCTTTTTGTTTGATTAGTGTGTAGAGAGGGATTTAGATATTGAGAAAAACAGAGGAGATGGGTATCCAAGAAAATGGGAATGGGGGTGTTTTGAAGTATAAGAGGATGGATTCTGATGGAATGGAAGAGGATGTTGCTGTATTATGTGAAGAGAAAAGAAATGATATGAGCAGCAGAAAATATGTTTTGGTTTGTGCCATCTTTGCCTCACTTAATTCTGTGCTGCTTGGATATGGTTGGTATATCTACTTCTTCTCCTAATGAATAGTGCTTATTCTTGTCCTTTTGTGTTCCATTCCTTTATCTGCTCCTCTCATCTTTATATTGATTCTCTTTGCTTTACCATTGGTTTTGCCATATATTTGGAGTGGCAAAATTAGCTTTAGGATTCTGTTTCTGCATCGTATACTGATTCATAAGGCTAGAGGATACTGGATTATGCAGTCTGTTGTTGTGCTTTTTTTTTAATGTCATCATAAAGCTCCAAGAGTTTAGTAGATTTTGTTCACTTTTGAAACCTACCTCTAAAAGAACCTTATAAATAGCCAAGACCTCCTTTTGAGCTCTTGATGAACTTTTAATGAAATGTAGGGTAAGGTTGCGTACAATATACAATAGACTCTTGAGGTCCGGTCCTTTACCGGACCCGTGCGTAACGGGAGCTTAGTGCACCGGGCTGCTAAGTGTCTTTTAGGTTTAGCATTTTGGTCCCACTTCCCTTTAGTTGTTCAGCATTATACCAAATGTTTTTGGCATAGACCTCTCACCTCAGTGTTTTAGCTGGTTATGTGTTCAATTCAAAGCTAGTATCTAATAGGAATTATTCCATTTACAGATGTTGGTGTTATGAGTGGAGCTATTATATTCATTCAGCAAGACTTGAATATTAGTGAAGTACAAGAAGAAGTTCTTGTTGGAATCTTGAGCATAGTTTCACTTTTGGGGAGTTTAGCAGGAGGAAGAACTTCAGATGCCATCGGCAGGAAGTGGACCATGGCTTTTGCAGCCATTGTGTTTCAATCTGGGGCTCTTATAATGTCTCTCGCTCCTGACTTCAAGGTGTTAATGATAGGCAGATTTTTGGCTGGAATCGGTATTGGTTTTGGAGTTATGATTGCACCTGTTTATATTGCAGAGATATCACCCACGGTTGCTAGAGGGTCTTTCACTTCCTTCCCTGAGATATTCATCAATCTAGGAATTCTTTTAGGTTATGTTTCAAATTATGCATTTTCTGGTTTATCCCCCCATATAAACTGGAGAGTCATGCTTGGTGTGGGGATTCTCCCCTCAGTTTTTATTGGTATCGCGCTATTTGTCATTCCAGAATCTCCAAGGTGGTTGGTGATGAAAAACCGGATTGATGAAGCAAGGTTAGTCCTACTTAAAACTAATGAAAATGCTAATGAAGTGGAAGAGAGGCTAGCAGAAATTCAGCAAGCTGCAGGGCATGTTAATGCTGAGAAGTATGAAGAGAAAGCAGTGTGGCGTGAACTGCTAAATCCTTCACCTGGAGTTAGAAGAATGCTGATTACAGGTTGTGGTATTCAGTGCTTTCAACAGGTCACAGGTATCGATGCCACTGTGTATTACAGTCCAACAATTTTTAAGGATGCAGGAATTAAGGGTAACACTCAGCTCCTAGCTGCAACTGTTGCTGTTGGATTCACAAAAACAATATTCATTTTGATAGCCATATTGCTCATTGACAAAGTTGGCAGGAAACCTTTGTTATATGTCAGCACAATTGGTATGACTACTTGTCTGTTTGGCCTTGGCCTCACACTTTCTCTACTGGGTAATGGTTCAGTTGGTATCAAGCTGGCAATCTTATGTGTGTGTGGAAATGTAGCATTCTTTTCCGTGGGGATTGGACCAATTTGTTGGGTCTTGACATCTGAAATCTTCCCTCTGAGACTTCGAGCTCAAGCATCAGCTCTTGGTGCAGTAGGGAGCAGGGTTAGTAGTGGTGTGGTTGCAATGTCTTTCCTCTCCGTTTCTCGTATGATTACAGTAGGAGGAACATTTTTTGTGTTTGCTGCTATATCAGCTCTCTCTGTTGCTTTTGTTCATAAATGTGTTCCAGAAACAAAGGGGAAATCATTGGAAGAAATCGAAATGATGTTCCAGAATGATAGGCCACAACAAGGTGGTGAATTGGAGCTTGAAGATGTCAAACATCTAATGCAGACACAATGAAAGAGGCATATTAGATATCATATCATAGTTTTAGCAGCAGCCAGAAGAAAGTTGGCATTTGCTCTTGAGACACTTATTTGATTTGCCAGCTTAACAATATCTGTGTTGCATTACACAAAATATGAAGTTATAAACAAAACAAGAAACTTTATATCTTTTTGTCGTTAGGGGTGAGGCTTTCTTGTATCTTGATGACATTGAAATTCGATATCTAGAAACATAGAAGTAATACATAGATTTTCTTCATTCACTTTCTTTTTCCTTTTTTTGTAAGAACAAAAGAGTACTAATGGTGAATATCTGTATATAGGTTCCACTTGATATTCCACTGACTTTTACTGGACCATTGTTACCTTCTTCTGTTTACCCTTATTTTTACTTTACTATCAAGAAATCCCTGAGGATCAATGTTAGCACAATCCAGAAATCAACACTTGATGGGCCAGTCCCTTTATCCTTCCACTTAAAATGCCAAACTTTTGTACATGGTAGGGTTCAAACCTGTGAAGAGTGCCCAACCCATGCATCACGCACTACTCTCTTATCACTAGATCAATGCCATGGGTGGTGGTTTCTGGTTACCTTTTTCATCTTTTAGTTTGTTTTTTTTTTTGCTTTTAGTCTTTAATAAAACTTGCAGAAATCAAAAGGTTCTGTCATGTATAGGATGAATTACTGTAAAGGAATAAAAGTTGTTAAATACTAAATAGCAAGTCAAACATTTTGGTCAGTCCTCAATGGAAAATGAATTAAATGATATGCCTCCTTTCTTCTTCTATAATGTTCAACCTCTTCTAAGGTATTTAGAGAATGATACTAGCAATTATTTTGAGCATTCTGGTGAAGTTGAATTGAGAGTACACCAAACAGATAGACCTGAAAGTGAAAGCTCTTAAAGGACCACATGCACTACAAAGTGCAGAAAACAAAGAAAAGGACTGGTCATCAAAGTTCCACCAGCTAAACATTAATTACCTTTTTTTGGTCCTGTAAGTTGGTAAATATCTATATTTTGTCACTCCAAATACACCAATTTGATCAGCAATGTAACTGGATAAAGTGAGTGAAAAAGGGGTAAAAAAACGAAAGTAGATTGGCCCAAGTGTGGAGTAGTATCTACTCAAAAGATAGCAACCATGTGCAGCATATGCATTTCCTAAGAAACTTAACAAACACTGCTTTCAATTTCAAATTCAGCAAGCTTAGGGAAGGTTATGTAGCCATTGACCGCTAGATAAAATATTAGTTGAAAGTATCTACATTCTTTATTGTGTTGAAAGCAGAGAGTACAGGATCACCACCTCCCCCACCCCCCACTAAAAGGGAGAATAAAATAGAAGACAAAAATTGAAGTGTCAAGCACCAAGTGTACCATTCTAGAAAACATGCAATCACAGAGAATAATTCTCCTTGCCTCTTCAGAGAATCTCAGTTTAATGACATTATTCTAGTTTTGAAAGGACAATATGAAGATCAATACAGGATACAAATTCAGTTATAATGAAGTAATGTAGTTAATGAAAGCTCGTAATCAATGTCACAAAAATTAACAGATATGAGGAGTGATGGAGGAGCTGCAGATTCAATATGTCTGGTTGTCATTTTACTTTAATTAACAGATATGAGTGAGGAAATTTCCAAGTATTCTTCATGATAATCCTGTTTCAGGTCAACAAAATATTTGTGCACCAAGTAAGGAGAAATCACTGAAGGTGGTTGGATCACAACATCTCCATGACTTTTCTGCACAAATTACATTCACATGGAACTAACCAGATAGAATTATGAATTATTAGTGTTAGTAGGGTAGTTTATGAATAATTCCAGCAGAAACTTGCTTACTGACCTATTATCATACAGGTAGCACCCTGTCTCCTACAGATTTAGAGGGAAACATTTCACTGCTTCCCTCGAGCTAGCATAATTTCATGAACAACAATGTGAACGAACTCTGGACCATAATTAAAGTAAGGGCACGAGCTGATCAGTAATAGCTCAAATGTTTATTCCATGGAAAAGCTAACAGCATCACATTACATATAGTGGTCCTGAATCAATACATTAGCTGATAGACGCCCTCCCAACTACTGTTGTGACTTTGATATTAAAGAAAACTGAAGTCTTTGCCAAACCCAAGCAAAAAAATCAAGATATTTATCCAGTTAAATCGTGGGGCCAATAGCATTTCAGTTGATGGGAACTTAGCAATAATTCTGCTGTTCTATCTTTGTATAATTTGTTCAATCACATAGACAATGAAGTAGAATACATGAATCCTGCATTATTTCTGTACCACCTAAGTTTCTTCAAGACAACCTATGTAATGAACTTAGGTGGTTCATAATCCTACAACAATTAATGAAGAATAAAACACGCTGACGCTGATTTTCCGTGGTGTATACTTACAACTTTGATGAGTAAGAATTGCAGAAAACACAACAATCTGACATTATATGTTGAATTATGCTTCCTTCTTCAACCTCAAGCTCTCTACTTTGCTTGTTCCAAAGATGCACAGCCAAACTTCCACTCTGAATCTGCTGGAGTTTCAAGAGCAACCATTTCGATTGAGTCTCGTTCCTCGGCCCAAGAAAGAGACTACCAATCCTATTCCAATCAACTGGATAAAAAGCCATTGGGGGCAAAACAGTGAAATTGTATCCATCTCTTCCTCTTACCCTTGACACAACCCTTGAAACCAAATAAGGACCATTATGACCCCATTTATTCCCATCAAAGGTAAGTGCAAATTCTTCAATAAACTTGTACAACAAAGGATGCCTCTTATCAAAAATCATTACAGCATTATTTAACCTACTCCAATTTCTTGTTTCAACATCAATAGTTTGAGCCCCAATAACATTCCTTAGCTTCCCAAAACTCTTCAACACTATAACATCAGTATCTAAATAAATCCCACCAAACTTATACAGTAAACCAAGTCTTAACAAATTTGAGAGATTCTGACCTAAAGAAACTTCCCCGGGGTCAATATTACCCTTCATTAAGTTATCAATCCAGGCTTGAGCAATAGTATTTTTAAACAAGTACATAAAATCAGGTGAAATTGCAGTTACCCTTAATCCTTTCTCCAAGAAAGGGTTTAAAGCTTGCATTCCTCTTGGAGAATCCATTGAAGTAGACATAATGACCAAACAGCCATTTGGGTGTGCCTTAAACAGACTCTCAACAGCAAACAGTTCCCTTTCACCAAAAGATTCAATGGAAGAAATCCAAGTCATGAAAAATCGAAACTTACAGGAAGAATTGGATGATTTAGAACCAAAAAACTCCTTCATTCTCATTGAAAACACATTGATTCTGTCCCCTGAAGGAAGAACCTTCACCAAAGGCTTCTTCTTTCTCCTTCTTCTAGGTTGATAAGCCACTGAATCATATGTAAAACCCACCAAGTTTGGATTTTTCCGGGAAATTATCAACTGGGTGTTTGGTTTTACAAGTGGGGTTTCTTCTTTTACTGCATATATCACAGAGGATGAAAGTTTAGCTGAAGTAGATAAAGAAACCAACTTTCTTGATTTTCTGGCGACATTTTCAGTTAAAAAACTTGAAATCTCCGGCGAAGAGTTTCCCGGAACCGGGACTTGAACATAGAACACAGTGGAACTGTTGTAAGCTAAGAGAAAAAGCAGAAAACAAGAAACAATTGCACATAAAGACCTCCTCTTAATGACACCATCCATGGTCTTTTCTTGTAAATTAAAAATGTCTCCTTTTTCATAGTTGGTTTCTGAAGCAATTTTCAGGTATGACAAAGTGATGAAGATGAGAGTAGAGGAAGTTGAAGAGCATTTTTCCAGTGATGGAGGCGGCAAAAAAAGTGCAGGAAAATTGAAAAGATGTTTTTTTGGTGCTTTTTGGAAAAATTCAGTAGCCAAAGATCACCACTATATGAAAAAGTTATTGGGTTTTGAGCCTGTTTTGTATTTTTGTGGAGTAAAGGAGGGTAGGGAGAATGAGAATTAAATGTAGCACAGTTTGTTGATTGGGCTATCAAGCCAATAGCTTTATGAAGAACAAACTCTATATTGCATTGGTTCTTAACTTCCCTTTATATAATTGGGCACATTTGGTTTGGTAGGATAGAAGAGTAGTAAGTGGTAACTAATTTGGTGGTTAATTTTAGGATGAGTTTATTTATGTTCGAGATGGTATTGTTATTTTTATTTTATATTGAGAGTAAAATAATTAATTTTGAGATAATTAATTTCTAATCAAATGAGCCTTTAAGATTCATTTCATTAGGAACGGGAATTAAATTATTCTAAATTTTTAAGTTTTGGATTAATTTGTCCTATTTGAGAAATGGAATAAAATAATTTAAAGTTAGATGAGATAAGATGAGATATCCTAAAATTAAGTTTGAAATAAATTTTATACATAGCATTTGATTGATAATATTCTAAAAATATCTCATCTTATTCCGCTTATTAAATAACCTATAGAATGAGTAATTTCTTTTTAGCTATAGGCGCAGCAGAATTTTTTTTTTCAATTAATATATGACAAAGTTAATTTCCTTTACTGTTTATTTTTATTTTATTATGATAATGAAAACTTGCTATAAATTTTTCGCTCTTATGCAATAGCTTGCATATCACATCAAAAAGATAGTTCATATTAGACAAGTCTGATGTAACGAACTCGACCCAAAAGACAAATCGCTTGATTTCGCTAACTAGGAGTTTCAAACTTATTCCTTTACTCTTTATGGTCAAGCAAGAGCAATTTGCAGTTTTGACTCTTTTCCTCCAAAGTGATTCTGTTATCAAATTTATGGAGGAGTGTTATTTAAGTAAAATATTTAATAAAGAAGTAGTTAAGAGTGTTCATAATATATTTAGATTAAAATATTAAATATCTACCTTAAGTAGTAGTGTTATTAGTTTTTGGGTTTCCATTTTGGAAGAAAGAGGTGGTGCACAGTTTAATTAAATGATTGAACTACCCTACATTTCATTAAAAAAAATATCACCAAAATTGTACTAATTTGATCTATTAAGTAATTTCTTTAGTTTGATCAATCAAAAAACTTACGTTTAGCACTAATTCAGCCTTTAAGTATAAATAATTACATTTACAATAATGGTGTTTACTTACCGGAAATCACAAATTAGATTCATTAAAGGAAATTAGTGACTTTAATTTTTTTAAGCTATTTAAGATATTAATTGTAGCTGTTTACCTAACTTTCTTTAAGTTCAATTAGAAATTTAAAATGCTACAAAATTCACAACAAATAGGATGAAATTGTACTCTAGTAATATAACATTTAATATAGCCAGTATATTTTGTTAAATACGGAGTACTTATTACTACTAATCTTTTAGCTCACAGCTAATTAATTAATTGGTCATTCAAGCTGTGTATTTTAATGAAAAATGAATCATGGCTAAATCACTTTCCCCTTTAAACAATAATTAATTACATTCAGAGTGTAGAAATAGTGTTATGTATTCTCAAACACATTACACATGGACATGATAAATCACGACAAAATAACAAAAAAAAAAAAAGACATTTAGTGAAAATAGATTTTTTTTAGTTGTAATATTTATTGCCGTAAAATTATTTAATAATAATTGAATTACTGTTGTTATATCCTTTAGCAATATATAAATTATTGATTAAAAATATTCATATTTGTTATTATCGCCGAATATAATTTAATGACAATTATATCATTGCCGCAATGCCGCTAAATCATTTATTGTTATAGAGCAATTACACATGTATAAAAAAAAATAAAGGAAAGGAGAATTGGATGGTAGTATATACATATTAGTAAAATTGTTATCTTGTACGCCTCTATTATTAGGTACCTGTTATTTTCATTAACACAATTTACATGTATTAAATAATATTTTCCACTAAAAGTCTAAAACTCAAGAAGAAAAGAAATCGCTAAAAAAATATTGTCTCTGCAGGGAATTAAAACCTTCTTCAATAGTGACCAAAAACGACTATGATAATTACGTCTCAATATTATCAAAATCGTATTTATTTTACCAAAGTCCATTTATTATAGACTTTAAGATTCTAAGTTAATCAATTTCAACATAGTATTTGTAAAAAGAAGAAGATTGTTGCTCAGTATTCAATTAGGATCTTCGTAGTTCAGTTGAATGGATACCTGAACTTTTTCACCTTGCTAAAAATTTAATTTTTACGTGTAATATCCTTTCCCTACAAGGCTAAATGTCACATTATTAATAATAGAAGGATCAAAATTGAGAAATAACCAAATGTCAATAATTTAGGAATATATAATTGTAATTCACTGACTCGACTAATCTGAATTTTGATTGATACACACTTACTAAGAGTATATGATTCAATGTTGACACTTTATTTACTTACAACTAACTGCCCATAGCTAACACCTATTAATTGATTTTAATTTTGAGCAAATCGAGGGTTTTAGGTACAGAATGAGATCATAGATGTGTAGTGACATTATTCTTTAATTAAAACTCCACCAAACAAAAATCATGTTACACGATTTTTCTACATTCATCTCGAAGAATCACAAAATAAAATATGATTTGACTAATAGGGAAAAAAAATATGATTATGATTTAACTGCCTGATAGGCAATTTATTGCTACATTTATTTCAATTATATATGTTCACCTTTTGACCTGCTTGTTGTATATAAAAATTGTGCATGTGGTACCATTGGATAGTGGATAATAATATGAAATTTAATTTCATAAGGTTTAATTCTCGTTTTCCAACTTAATGAATCGTGATCGATATCAATATGCGATTGAAGTTTTCTTCGTAACTTTCGAAAATTCTCCCTAATGAGATATTTCATTCATTTAATATTTCTTTGATGTTTGTTACATAACTAATATTATTTCTAGTCTATTTTTTTTATATATCTTTTCTATACATGAAAATTTCAAAAATGATAGCATAATAATCCGCCCATGATTCAATATTTTGATGTACTCCCGGGTAGAGAATATATCAATCAATCCTGAACACAACGATAAACTCTATTCAAGTAATTAATACTGAAAGAGAGGTCTTATGAATAATAGCTCGATACTAAGATAATAAAAAGTTTGACACTTCTCTTTCTTATTACTTTCTGAATATAAAAAAGGAAGAAGACATTTTATACAAAACCCTTAAATTATGACATTCCTCCTCTGTCACTTCATATCTCACACTCTTCTTATAGAGATAAATGCGCTTTTACATTTTCTTATAAACTAAAAATTATCTAAGAAAAAAGGAGATGGAACATAATTATTAAAAAAAAAAAAAAAATTGGGTCCGTTCCATACTATATTTGGATTAAAACTTAAATTTATTTTGATTGAATAATTAATTCAGACTTCAAAAATTAAATAAGTCAAACTTTTATTGGAAAATTTTCACAAATAGTATAATAAACTTTATGTTCCATAAGTATAGTTTGCATCATCTGATGGCCCAAATCATGTTACGTATTCAATCATTGATATTCCAGTTAAATTCAATTTTTTTTAAAAATAACACCACGTGTTAAGATAGATTCAACTTTCCGTCAAAACAAAGACCAATCAAAAGTCATTACCTGTTCAAAATGACCTGTTTTGACCAAATAAAGAAGTTACATAACTCATTTGACGATACATCCAAAGTACCATAGAGAAGATATCCTCAAGCAAAGAGATCAACTTGAAATGATAAAAAGTGTTGCATGATTTTCTTAGCGATCAAATATATTTCAAGGAGATCCAAAATCATCTACATTTGAATGGGACGATTTTAAAGCGCACTCTTCATTCATTTTTTTTTTCGATGACAAGAGAAATTCACAGTCGCTATTCTTTGGGTGCGGATAAAACTCCCACTCCCATGCAATAACTCGTAAACCACATAGGAGAGGTAACCCGCACTAGGCAAGCCCGGTGCGACGAGCTCGACCCAGAAGACAAATCCCTTGCTTTTACTGACAAGTGATTTCGAACTTGAGACCTCCAACATGAAAGTCTCAAGATCATCAAAATTTCACAATCCAATATCAAGAGCTTCGATTGAATCGATATTGATATACCGATTCACCCTACTAACAACCGCCGAACTACGGAGAAAAGTTAGCAAAGAAGAATCAAGAGAACAATAAAACAAACTTGATGAATAAAATATCTTTTTCTTTTAATTTTATGGTTGCAGTTTTTTTTTCATACTTAGAGAAAATTTATTGCGAACGATAATAAATTGAACACGTTACTTTCCTATTTCATTTTCCAAATGTTAGTATCAATTGAATGAGGTGATAGGAAAGGGAAAGGGTTAAAAATGAGCCATTAAAATCCTTCACACGGTAATGTTAGCCATTTAAAGGTACAATACTTGCTTTATGTTATTTGTTTCAGTAATTGATTTATGAATGAATGCTTTTGGAGTAGACGGTCTAAGTTTTAATCCTAAAACTATGTGCCTATGACTTCGATGTTTATTCTAAATTAGTGTACTTATGCCTCTTTTGGGTATGCCAATATGTCATGTCATTAGAAATACTTATTCATAGTGTTTATATCGAATTGATAAATACTTGGGACTTTTACATGTATTTTTATAAGGTAATCGTGATTAATTGATTTATAAGTTGATTTCAATTTATATTTCACCATGATAAATTCATATAATTTAGTGTAAACATTCGGCTATATTTTCTGTCATGTGGAATAAATGTCATTCATTGTCCCATGTTCAATCATTATTGCCAAATTGATTGTCCTTTTTGGGAATTGCAACAAATTTGGGAAAGCAAAATCACAAATTATACCAGAGTAATTTTCTTTTGCTTTTTGGGTAAACAAGGTTCATATCAGTGCATTTTTTTGAGTCCGGAGCCTAAAGGGCAAAAAAAATGGTCAAAAATTCCAAAAGGGCACATCACTTTTTATTTTAGCCAAAAGGGCAAAATCACTGCGTCAGCAGCGATTTTCCTCTGACAAAATGACAAAATCGCTGCCCTAGCAGCGATTTCGTCTAAAAATTTTTTTTATTTTTT